AAAGACAAAAAACCAGCAAAGACAACGGCACATGTGGTAGAAAAAATTATGACAATAAGTAGCTTTTCTTTCTTTTCAAAGGTTTTATTAGAAAGCCAATACTATTATCTGGACGACTTAAAATACATTTCTCAAGTTTATGCGAAACATTTCGTTCAGTCACCCATAACATATCGTTAATTCATCAGCTATACAAGTAAACACTGGTTTTAAATAAGGTCAAGGATCAAAATAATCGTAATCGTAATCACAACTACTTTAGAGAATATGAGTATGAATCACCTATGTTCAACATTGTGATACCAGACAAGGACAGATATACAGACACAACAATAGTGCAACTAGCGCAGAAAAGCCCAGAATGAGTCAGCAACGCAGCCAACCCACTCCCTTTAAACTGCACTGCAAAGAAGAGTTGGTTATCAGGAATCACCCCGATATCCAGGAAGACGATGAAATCCTCTTCTTTGTTCAGCAATCTTTTCATAAAAGAGTAACCAAACACCAATCGCGGCCGCGATCAAAACAGTTGCTATGTTGCATGTTGCGTCATCCCATTGCTCAATGGCACCAAACACTACTAGAAATTAGGAAAAGACAATTAGCCGCTGTATCTCTTATGAATCATGAACAACAGTAGACTCACTGTATTTTTTAGGTGCTCTGCGTCCGAATCTCATTTCAAACCACGTCATATTGAGAGGTGGAGAGGAGATACAAGCATAGTGGAAATTTACACACAGAGCATAGGTAGATTTTGTTCCGCTATTCTACGGGTTATAGTCTTGTGGATAGCTTGAATTAAAGAGTTAATGATAAATGGTCGGTTATCGAAAACCAAGACCCAGTGAACCCGCCATAAGCCATGACGGATTGCTTCGAAAACAATGTGACTACGAGTGCTCGGTGGATCCGGTGGGAATGGTAGATGTAAGATAGCGGCGTGGATTTGAGCATCGGCAACAAACAGCAGCAGAAGAACACGCCAGACAGAACGCCATATGCGACGTTTTTTGGGACAATCGGCGAGGAAGTGAAGAAGATCATCAATTCCGTGGACGCACAAGGACAGTTGTCCGAGGCAGATTCGATGAAAGGTAGCACGGCAAGATAGCTTTGGTGAAGTGCCCGAAACCAGAGGTTGCGCACAGGTACAGCCATAGGAGTTGACCAAAAGCGCCTCCATTCTTTTTTGGACGGAAAATCCGGAATTACTGAGACTGGGTATAGCCGGATGTTCGCTTCTGTCCGGAAGCCTTTCGTAGTAACATCACGGAAAGCAAGATTACCAAATTTACACCAACGGAGAAGAAGCTGGACATCATGAGGTGCTGTTGCTGGATCAAATTCCTCTGCCACTAGATTAAAACTGAAACAGGCGCGGTAGAAGAAAGCTTAGTGTAGAGGTTGTCCCGCGTCAAGCAAGGAGTAGAGACTGGAAATGATCCGAGGGAAGCGTTCTAGTTCATCCATCGTTTTTCGCCTCAGGCCGAGGTGAAAGTCGAGGATAAAGATATCTGACACTAGGATCCGATGGCGCGCTAGTGTCACGAGTGACCTATGGACGGCCAGAGTATGCGGGTTTGGTGGCTGTGCGATTGTATGGGACAAGGATACAACGAATGCTAATTTCTGTCCACACAAATGACGCATGCAAAGTGAAATCGGCCAATAGGGACCACAGAAGCGAGAAATTCCTGGTCCGTGCTTTTGACTTTTTTCTGGGGATTAACAAGCCGCACGCCATAAAAGCGTGTTATCGTAGCAACCGTTGTTCAAATGGTTACTGGATTTTTAACTGATGACGCATATTTTTTTTCAGTCTTTTTGATGGACCGTGTATTTTTATGATTGGCAGGAGCTGAGAATAAGATCTCATTCAAGCAAAGACTTTTCCCTCTTCATCAGAACTTCGCAGAGTGATCCGAACTTGCCGGATCCTCCACACAACTCCTTGATATTCCAGATATTGTGGTTTCAAATTTTGGGCAATTTTGGGCATAGCGTCGCAATCGAGAGAACAAAGTACAGGCTCACGAAAAATAAATCCGTCACCGAGCTCGTAGAATTGAAGCGATATTGTCAGTGCCGCAAAACGATTCTTGTCAACGCAGCCTTTTCCGAGGTTCTGAGCAATATCGAACGTCACATCTATGCTACATAGGAGCTCATATAGTTCTGAAGAGGTTCAGTAACATGCTGTTCTTACTGTTTTGCGTTTATGCTGTCGTTATTGTCACTTTATTATCTTCGCATTCCTTTGCTGCTGTAGAAATGGCTAAGGCTTTTAATACGGACACACCCTTCTATTTTTTATTCCTCATCAGGTTACACACATCCTATAAATATATACCTGTGGGGGTGTCCGCAATGATGTGTTCACTGGATTTGTTCACTTGTTACATATTGTTATTATACATCTTTCGATATCTTAACAAAAAAGAACCATAAAAGGTACATGAAAAACATTCTTTAATGCTTTTAAAACTTTCTAGGGTGTCTCTACGGATGTGTTTATGTGCAGTACAGTAGTTTAGATAAAGTATACAAATGCTCCTCAATAAACAGTATACTTTAATGTTATATCTTCGACTTTCTACCTACGTTTATCACCCTACTATCTCAACACTATGGAGCAATTGACTGACACTACTTACACCGGATCAAATAAGCGAATTGTGAAAGCAATTAAGGAGCAAGCCAAAAAATACAACTTTGCCGCTTTAACTAAACGAAGTGAGAAGAACGTAAAAATTGTGATCCAGTGCGCACATGGTAGAAGCTATCGCAACCCACATATAGTAACTAAAAAAACGCGGGGACGCCAAACTCAGCGACGAAAACGACCGGCTGCCAATGGACCATGAACCTAAGGTGGTCCGAGAAGGATAAGCACTGGAAAGTAACGAAGGTCGGCAACGACAACGAGCACAACCACTCCTTCGACAAGCCTCCTAAGTATTACCACCAACACCGCACGCCAACTCTCCATACCGAGCAGCAAATATTATCATTGACAGATAATTCCGTCAGACCCCTTAAGATACATCGAGAAGTTCAGACACACGAAGACGGCGCAATTATGACCATGAGGGATCTATACAATTTTCGTGCGCAAATATTCCTTGATGATAATCTTGGCGGCTTCAGTAGGATATTTGAGTTCCTCGTTGGTAACAACTATATAGCTAGTGGTAAGCTAGACGGCACAGGTAAAAGTCCCGACGCCCTTTTTTTACCCATAAAATGAGCATAGCAAAAGCACGACGATTCAATGAGATCATTGCTATCGATGCGACATACAAAACGAGCAGAACCAAAATGCCTATTGTCACTGTTGTTGGTGTCAGTCATCTCGGTGCATCCAATCTCAAGAACGTGCTTATTACCTCTGCTTTCTTGGTAAACGAGAAAGAAGAGTCGTACACCTGGCTCCTTCGGACTATGCGTCAAGTCAAATGACCAGAAGGAAACGTACGCATCTTCATTACGGACAACGAAAGTAGAGCTTTGATCAACGCCATCGAATCAACTTTCAAAGATGCAGAGCATATACTTTGCGGGTGGCATATGGAGCAGCATTTACGTAGCATCTTCAGTAGCTGCTTTCCAGCGAACAGCGAAGAGATAGGCGAAGCCAAATCCATCATTAAGCAAATGGTTTATGTTGTAAAAAAGACGAAGCGACTTTCCAGGCTGCCATTGACGCTTATAAGTCTCTGATTGAAAAAGGTGCTCTTGCGTATGCCAACGGAAACCATAAGCGATCCAAAAAGCACAAGAAAACAAAGTCCAAAGCGAAGTATCATGACGACAGCAGCAATAGCGAGAACGACAGTCTCAGAGATACTGAAGATGATGCAACGTCTGCAATACGTTTGCTGGCAAGCAAAAAGAAAGAGAAACGATGGACTATCTCAACGGGTATGTTAACTACCTTTATCCAATCTTTGACTGGAGCTTTTGCCGAGATGTGCTAACCAGCTGTAATATATTATATTATATAGCTGCCTTGAATATAAGGAGAAATGGGGTGCTTGTTATGCTGGAAGACTTTATCATAAACATCGGAATGAGGGCATCATCGCGTATTGAAGGGACACACTGGCGCATCAAAGATACAATGCAAACCACCGGAAGCTTGTTTAAAACGGTCAAAGCAATTGATCGTGTCATGCGTAAATCGGTATGAGCTACACCCTTTGTTTTCGGATTGAAAAGTTAATGTGTTAACAGATATGCTAATCAAAATTTTGTACTAATTGGCTGATGAAGAGACTCAGTTTTTGCAAGGAAGACATATAATGCCACTTTATGGAAAGCGTGAATCAGCTGTGATGCAAGAGCTCTTTGGCACTATTTCGTATTTTGCTTTGAATGGACTCTGAAGGGAGCTCAAACGAGCTTGTGATAACTGCGATAAATACCATCTTGACTCAAGCGACAGCTGGTGTGGTACCACACTAAAGTATGGACTGCCGTGTCAACATAATAGCGCACGAAAAGATTAAGTACGTATAAGCTTGTCGGATATTCCTGATCGATGGCGTTTGAAATATGACAGAGGTATCATATAATCCTCTGCTATAGTAATACTGTGACTATATTAAGTGCCTGTAATATACTTTATATTCTCATATGAAAGTTATTTATCCACAGATAGTTTCCAAAAGGTGTATTACTCGTGAAGCAATTGTATCAGAGCAACAGAACAGGTTACTACAGAAGCTGCATGATGCTCTCTACAATATGCGGTCGGATCAGCAAAGATCCGATTTACTTAGTAGTATCGATGGGATTCTCGACGAATATACAATGGGTTTCGACGTTAGCGACATCGAATTACCAAGCAATGTGCAGACCAAAGAACGCCCTGCTAACACAAAAAATGCACGATTTACCGTAACGTTCGAACTAGATGAAAAGGATAGCCAGCAACGCTTTCAAAGTAGAAACGCCAACGAATCAGAGGAACTCTCCGAAGGCAGCAACACAGAGGATGATAAAATCTACGTTTTCCTCAACAAGGGAAAAGAAAGGTTCCGGAGATGAACTTCCTTGAAAGCACGAACAAAAGGTACGTGCTCTTCTGATGAAATTTTAGCTAACAAATACTTTGCAGCTATCCATAAACTATTTATTGTAGATTCAAAAAAGATTTTGTACCCAAGTTGAAGTTCTTCGTTCATACAATCATCCCTCGCAAGTTCATTGAAACAACTGTCGACATTATGCTCGAAGACTTCTGTGGCTTCCGCACAATCGCACATCATGTACACGGCAATCAAGAGGCTTTTATGTTGGTCAAGTTACAAATGCTGGAGTGCTTCAAGATAAACAAGGATATATACAGCACTATGTATTAATGAGTGAGAATTTACGGCGCACTGAAATATCACTATCTTACGCACTTGATGCTCCACGACCCCCGGAATCTTGCCCATTTGATTATTAGTTCCTTACGCCTGACTTTGCACAGATCGCTGCAGACACTTATCAACGACCTGTTGCAATTAATCCAGACAGTGATTAGAAAAAGCTAGACTTTGACGAATACGCTTATGAGCCATCGCTAAATTTGCCAATGCAAGGTCCATCGTCCGACAGCAAGAATCCTCTGCCCATTATTATGCAGCATCTCAATAACCATCATTGGGCTACCAACGATACGAAAGGACACATTATCAGGATGGATGGCCTATTATCAACTCGATGTGTATAAAGACATACCGATCAATGGGTAATGTTGATGGCCCGCATAAAACAAAGTGGCGTTATCTGCAGATAAAAAATCGTGACGACGAAAGACAGTGCGTGCTGGACCCTTTACACTGGATTAATCATTCTACTACTTCCTATACAATAATTTCCTCTCTTCTCGAGCACCACTCTCTTCATTTTATATATTCTGGTATAAGTTAAATAGCGATGTTGATCAGATTTACTCTATACCTTCAAGGAACATCATATTTTCATCACTTTGATATATGGCTATCCCATTATATGGTACCTATGAGAAATAAAAGAACAAACCACTTAGGTATACATAATTTTGCGGACACCCCACAAGTATATATTTATAGGATGTGTGTATGATAACCTGATGAGGATTAAAAATGGAAGGGGGTGTTCGTATCAAAAGCCAATGGCTAACCAACCGTCATTGTCTTCATTCGGTACAGCGGAAGAGAAGCCGTTGATGGTGTATGAGAATTGTTCGCAATCTTCAAATTCTCGCCTTATCCTACTGTACACATATTCTACTCGTGTGATACACTGATTTTCATAGC